CAGTGTCGCCCAGTTAGTGACCTAGAATGGAAAGCCTTAGCTTTGGTTTCAGTCCCCCGTTCAGCTAGACCCTTCTCAACAGACTAGTCTGCCTTTAGTAGGAAAAATCAGGAGGACAACAGTCTAAATGCAGGCAAGGCTTGTTGCCATTTTGAATGGGCATGGACTGTCCCAGTGGGACACCAATTCCAGCCAAAGCCACCCACCGAAGCCACCCACCACCGCTCACTCTGCCGGAAGGAACACAGGAGCTGGGAGATTGCCGTCTCTGACTTTATTTCTTGCCTTAGAAAGTTCCCATCTCATTCCATTTAACACAGCTGTGCTGGCTCTTCCACCACAATCTTTGCTGCTTCTTTGTAGAATTCTTAGTCCTTCAGAAATATTAAATTTCTGAACTGGACTCAGATTCAAGGGCTATGATGCATATACTTTCTCCTCTTTTTTGGTTATTTAATTGCTATTACATAAAGCTAGGGCTGCTACTATTCTTACACTTAATCTAGTGTATTTTATTTTATTAGACTTCTGTGGCTTCCTGTTGCAGGACACTGTCTGAGGTTTTGTGGGGAGATCCCTGTTGACTCTAAAGGACTCCTTGGGTTAGTTGGCTGAGGGCCCTCGGCCGTGGTTGGCTGCTAAGGAGGACTGTTTGAAAGCACCCACTTCTCCAAGGTACAGCAAACAAACTTGATTTCTAGAAATGAGAGTGAGAGATCTCTACAGTCAAATGCGTCTGTTAGTTCTCTACAAAGCTCTCAGCCGTTAGGTTGACAAACGTTTGCTGCTGCTTTGTTCCGTCTCTCACTCTCTCTCTCTCTCTCTCTCTTCCTCCCTTAAAGGAACTGTATAAATCAAACTGCCTTCGTAACCTTAGCCCTTCCAAAGCTTCTCAACTGTTTCTTATTGGAAAGTTTCTCTGAAAGTAGTCTAAACAATTTCAGATAAAAAGAACTATAAATATTTTAAAGCTACTCAAACTTTAATCTTAGCACAAGTTTTACTGTTGTGGTTATTCATATCTTATAAAATATTCAAGGGGTAGTTTGTTCTGTGGTTGGATTTTTCTTTTGTGGTTGGCAGAAGACATTGCATAAGTATTTTCAAGAGGTTCAATGCAAACTGCTGGCTTTTTTCTAAATGAATTCCGATGCCTGGGTAGACTGCGTCAATCTGACAGCTTTACTTTTGTGCCCTAATCTTGCAATTGTTTATTTTTAAACTATCTACCTCTATAAACTAGCTCACAGAAAGTGCTATAAACTGGGAATATTTGGTTACCTTTTTGGTGACCAAAATTGCTTTGGGCTAACACGCGCCATCTTCTCCTCCCTCTCCCAGCCATTCTGACCTCTTTGCAGTGCCACTAATGCCAAACCAAGAGAGGAAGGTTATCAGTGGTAGATACTCCCCATA